TCATCCACTTTAAGCATTTTTTACATGATTCAGTTTTAATAAATTATCGTAAGTACCTAGAAGGTAATAATCTCATTACCTACAATAGAGTAGAGGTTGGGCACATATATGGGCAAACATATCTTGCTAAATGTAGCATAAAGTTTGAAAAGTGAGCTGGGCTTCCAGCGTTCTGGAATTCATCAGTAAATTTGATTGTGAAAAATAGAGCATCTTGAGTAAGGCATATGAAGCAATACTGTAGGAGTATGGGTTAATCAAAGAGGAAGCTAGACTGTCAGAGGTTTTCAAGTAATTTGTAACAGATATTTAAAAGAGATTAATCATGGGGAGAAAACAAGAGGCCATAGCTTAAATATAGGATTCATGTATAGGTTAAATCCACAAGAAAAACTCCTTTCATTTAAAGATTGAAAAAAAAAAGGGAAACATGTCAATAGAATGCACGAATAAAGTTTGATAGTGTGTTTATTAATCTTAAAATATAAAACATTTTTCTTTGCTTTACATGAAATTCAGCCTATATCAGAATTATTCCCTTTATAGGTAAAGGATACTATTAAAATTCTGAACCTCTAAACTCTAAAACTCAGCTAAAGCCATCCTATCTCTCTATTTATTTATTTATTTATTTATTTATTTATTTATTTATTTTGCCACATTGCAGGGCTTGCAGAATCTCAGTTCCCTGACCAGGATTGAACCCAGGCCATGGGGAATCCTAACCACTAGACCTCTAGGGAAATCCCCTATCTCTCAATTTAAAATTTGAAATGATTCACATATGTAGAACTTACTATACTTTCTAGGTAGATTAAGTGTGGGTATAGATAAAAATGTCAAATTAAATAAAATTGACTACACAGAAGATTGATATACAGCAGGAGAAAAAAGAAGCTTAACTTCTTACTTTTCAGTACTTTGCAATTGAACAATCTTTTGATCAGGGTAATGGTTTCTTTAAGGATGTATGATTATGAAAAATAAACATAAAATTTGAGAAGAAAATGAAGGGAGGAAATAAATTAGAAATTGCTGAAAACTGAAACTAAGACATTCATACTCTTGTTTCCAGGAACTAGGGAAACCAAAAATTCTTATGACAAAGTTTTCTTAAAAACAGAATATATATAACTTTCTGTTTCCAAAATGACAGGACAAGCCTGTGATAGCCCAACTTCCCTACTGGTAATAATTAGAAGGACTAGAAATAGCATAAATCAAGCAAAACAACAACAACAACAACAACAACACTCCCCTAAGGCTTCTGGAAAGTAAACAAAATCGGGGATTGTGGAGGGGAATGAAAACTAGTTTCTTTTTTTTTTCACCCTCATTGCTTTGTCTAGAGGGCAGGTACTAGATAAGGAGAGTTGAAGTGATTCTGGACCTAAAACACATCCAGAAATATAGAGGGTATGCTGGAAAGAAGCCAATACAGGTTGAATACTGTGGGGGTAATCCCAGACAGGAGTCAGAGAAGGAGATGCCATAATTCTGTAAATAAAACCACAGAAATCTCAGCCTAAAGTCTGAGCTTGGCATGCATAGAGCAGATACAAAAACGTATAGCAAAGGCATTAAGAAATCAACTGTGAGATGTGAATCCCTGATTACAGGAGGCAACACAGAACTTAGAGGTGATTATCTACTTAAAAATACATTTTTCCCATATGGTTGTCAAGACCCAGAGTCTGCACAACATAATATTTACAGTGTCCAGGACACAATGCAATATTTCTCAACATTCAACAAACCAGGAGAATATGACCAATTCTAAAGGGAAAAGACAATTAACATATGCACATCCCAAGATGATTCAGATGTTGAATCTACCAGATAGAGATTTTAGAGCAGCTAATTTAACTATGTTACATGAGGTAAAGAAAAAACACATATAGAATTAATGAATATATAAGAAATCTCAGCAGAGAAACAAAAAATATAAAACAGAACAAAATTAGAAATTTAGAGCTAAAAAATTAATATCTTAAATAAAACAAAAACATCACTGGATGGACTCAGTAGCAGAAAAGAGATGATGCAGTAAAGAATCAGTCAACTTGAAAAGCAAACAACAGAAATCATTTAATCTGAAGAACAATGAGAAAAAAGATATATAAAACTGAACAGTGTCTCAGAGATCTTTGAGCCAAAAAGTCTAATGTGTGTAAGTAAAGTCCTAGAGATGAAAAAGAGATTAGGACAGAACAGATGTTTGAAGACATATGATAAAAAACTGCCAAATATATTGACAAATATAAATTTACAGATTCAAGAAATTCAGTATACCTCAAACAGGATAAACCCAGAGAAAACCATACCTGGGCATATCCTAGTCAAAGCTATGAATAACAAAGATGAATACAATAACTTGAAAGCAGCTTTAGAAAAATGACACATGGGCTTCCCTGGAAGTGCAGTGGTTAGGAATCCATCTGGCAGTGCAGGGGACATAGGTTCGAACCCTGGTCCGGGAAGATCCCACATGCCACGGAGCAGCTAAACCCATGCACCACATCTGCTGAGCCTGTGCTCTAGAGCCCACGAGCCACAACTACTGAGCCCACGGGCCACAACTACTGAAGCTCGTGCGCCTAGAGCCCATGCTCTGCAATAAGAGAAGCCACAACGAGAAGCCTGCGCACCACAACGAAGAGTGGCCCCTGCTCGCCGCAGCTAGAGAAAGCCCGTGCGCAGCAACGAAGACCCAACGCAGCCAAAAATAAATAAATTAAAAAAAAATTAAAAATTAAAAAAGACACATGGCATACAAGGGATAAACAATTAAAATTACCACGGATTTATCATCAGAAACCAAGGGGGCTAGAAGACAGGGGAGCCATATCTTTAAAGAAATGACAACCCAGAATTCTTTCCAGGGGAAAAAAAAAAATCATCAGGAATGACAGAGAGAACATTTTCAGATGAAAAAAAAAAAAAAATAGACTCTATCCCTAACAAATATGCTCTACAATAAATGGGGAATAAATTTCTTCAGACTGGAGGACAATAATATCAGAGGAAAATCTGAATCTTTAAGGATGGAGGAAGAGTAAAAGGAAATGGTAAAGAGATGAGTAAATAACATTTTTTTTCCTCTTCAGTTCCTTAATATATCTAAACTCTTAAAACAAAAATCATCATAATTTCTGGTGAGATTCTCAATTAATATGAATGCAGATATAATACATATGATATTAATAATTAAAAAAAAGATCAGTGTGGAGCACTTGTAAAGGCACCTATACGGTTGTCAGGTTTCTACACTTAATGTAAAGTGTCAGATAATTAACTCTGAGAGAACATGAACAGCTATTGAACATTAAAGTACGTCGAGTCAGAGATTAGTGCAGAAAATGAATAATTCATGAGGAAGACATATGGAGAGAATGGGAGAGAGAATAACGATCCCTCAGTGATATTCATATCATAATCTCCAGACCTTTTGAGCATGTTACTTCACATGGGAAAAAAGAACTTTGCAGCTGTGATTAAGTAAAGGATGTTGAGTTGAGAGAAGTATCCTGGATTACCCAATGTGGGTCCAATGTAATTGCAGGGAAGTCAAATATAGAGAAGATGTGAGGAAGGAAGCAGAGTCAAAGTGATACGATGCGAGAAAGACTCAATCTGCCAAAGCTGGCTTTGAAGTTGGAAGGAGACTGCAAGCCAAGGAAGGTGGGCAGATTCTAGAAATGGAAAAGACAAGAAAAGGGAATCTCCTGTAGGGCTTCCATAAAGAAACACAACGCTACAGACACTTGATTTTATCCCAGTGAGAATCCTTTCCAACCTCTGACCTCAAGAGCTTAAAATAATATATTGTGTTGTTTACAGCAATAAAATTCTTGGTCATTAGTTATAGCGACATTAGGAAACTAAGAGAAGATAACTATAAATGTGTACTGTGTCACTGAGCCTCAAAATATATGATGCAAAAATAAACAGGATTTAAGAGAGAGAAAAAAGTTCACAATCATGGTGGAGGATTTTAACACCCATCACTCTAATAGAACAAAACAAATTCAGTAAAGACACAGAAGATTAAAGAACACTAACACCCACCTTGATCTAATGTATATTTATAGAGCACAATATCTGCAGAATATATATGTTTTTTCAAGTACACATTATGTATTCACTAGGTAGATCATATGCTGGGACATAAAATAAACCTCAATAAATATGAAAACATCAAAATCATATAGAGTGTATTTTCTAAGCACAACTGTATTAAATTAGAAATAAGTAACAGCAAAATATCTATGAAAACAATAAATATCTGGAAGCTAAACATATCTTCATAAATAACTATTGACCAGTGATGAAATCACAAAGCAATGTAGAAAATATTTTTAACTGAAAGCCAAGAGAAAGACAACATATCACTATTTGTGGCATGCAGTTAAAATGCTACTTAGAGAGAAATTCCAGAAAAAGCTGAATAAACCAGTATGCAAGACTTTAACAGCAGAGGAGTGCATCTGTGATCAAAAAACAACTTATAGTTTGTTAGCAATCAGCCCTTGAAAAATAGAGTATCCTAAGTACTGTATTTTAAATACTATACAATAACTTATGAGGATGTAAAATAATTCAACAAAACAACTTGAAATGAGAAATGAAATTCTCACTACATATGTGAAACACAGGACCATTAATATTAGGAATAAACAGATAAAAATCTAAGGTGATGTTGATCAATTACTGATAACTAATATAATTCAGTTTACATTGTGTTTTGGGTTAAACGCTGTGTAATAAAAGGCCACAATTTTCAGGATAAGCAACATTAAGACCATTAAACATACAGCACTGTGAAATCCCCCATAACCGCCACTAGATGTCTCTAATAACTGACTTTGGCTGCATTCCTTCTAAAGTTATCCATTAAATACTACAAAATGAACTACTGTATTTTGATTTTCCCATGAAAATACATGTTTTTCAAAGCAGAAAAGTTGTTTTAATAAACATACAAAATGAAAATAACTTACATTGAATATCAAGGTACATGCTTTTCTGGTGCCCTCCGATTCTACTTGCAGCTTCACAGTCATATCTCCCTGAATCTGACAACTTCACATCTTTAATATGCAGTGATGAGCTTCTGTGCTGCCCTCTGACTTCGATACGTCCGTCTGGGCTCTGTTTACATTGATTCAGGAAAAATAAAGATTTTATGTGTATGTTGTGTAAAATGATGATGAAACATATTGCATTTATCATAGACACAATAAATGAAAATAAACTCTTACCTGTATTCATTTTTTATTTCAAAAAAGCAGTGTTTATTTATACTTTACTATTTTTAGCTAATCCATTTTACCAGCCCACTTGCTTACAGGGACACTGACTTGTAAGTAGTAAAAACTTAAACATAAGTTTTATCAACCTCTTTTATTTATTATGCTTTTTGCTTTTTATAAAGCTAGTATGTTCTTCTCGGAAGGATTTTGTTGTCTTTCAATTGTGTTCTTTACAAACATAGCAAAATGACAATAATGCCTATTCAATTCTGGCTAAAACCTACCAGTGAAAATGATATTTCTGCTGTATTTTAGTTTTCTATTTCACTACATAAGAAGAATGTATCAAGATGTATGACAATTAAAGACTTTAAGAGGAATTTATAGTTTTCATTTCTGAATGAATGCAACAGCATTGCTCATAAGCATAATTGGTACCATATGCATCATAGATACACTATTAAAAACACAGCATTCTTAGGAAGTCATTGGAAACAATATAGAAATTATTAATCACTTAACTCCACAAATATGACTCAAATCAAGGAACTGCTTATAATCCAATAATGTATAGATTATATTTCAAATAAGGATTATTGTGTGCAACATAATTATAGAATTTTCTTAAATCAAATACCTTTATAGCACACATATTTAAAACAAGAATAGTTTATTCATTGAATTTTACTCTGTACTATCAAGAAATATAGTGAACTTTTAGCACGTTATAACTCATTGGAAACATCTGCTCTACCATTATTGAATTGATTCTTTTTAATATTCGAGGTTTTAATGTTCAACACAATATTGTATATCATACATTCAATTGAAATATGTATGTTATTATAAACAGTATAATGGTTGTTTAATTTTCTTTATGACAGATTTGAACAAATTTCAATACATGTGTGAACTTTGCATTATTAAAATGATGTTTAACTATTTTCCTTTATTAATATTAAAAGACTATCTTAAAACTCTTTTTCAAACATGTTGATTGGGGCACAATATGTTACTTTTTTTCTTTTTAATTTTATATAGGAATGCAATCATTATACAATCCTATCACTCACTCATAATTCACTATCTGGAAAATGGTCTTCAAAAACAAAGAAATAAACAAAAGCATATTAGGGATGTATTATGCAACTTAGATCAAGATTTCTATGTCAAAAATATGTTCCCCAACTCCCAAGTATTGCTAAAGAAATAGTAAGGTGAAGTTTTCAAGCAGAAGGGCATTCTCTTCTGCCAATTTTTAAGATGTTCAGTTGCCAAACTCATTTACTTAATTGAAAGAAAACAAAATGTAAGAATCCACAGAAGTTAAAAATCAGAATGAATAAACCCAAAAGCAAAATGGCCAATTGTTATACAAGGTAACTAACTGCTGTTCCATAACTAAATAGGTATTCTTTGGTCCTTATCTCACTGCAGCTCTGTTCATCATTAAATTCTATTGAACTATATCCTTCCTTTCTTGTATGCTGACTTCCCTTGGCTTTCAAGACACCTACATGATCCTGATTTTTCTCCCAGTTTTGGTTGTAGTTTCCTTGGGTTTGGCTTTGGTTACAGCCTCCTCTCTTCCTCGGGGCCTCTGTATTCTGTCCTGGACTCTAGTGTCTTTTCAGTCAATACAATCCACTTAGGCACTCTTATCCCTGCCCACATCTACAATGATGATCTCTAGTCACTCTTTCTCCACCCAGGATCCTTCTTTCCCTGGAGCTACATAACTAGATATATCACATGCAGGGCAAGTCCATTTGATATATATCCCAAACTAGCATGTGCAGATGAATACATCACGCCTTACCCAGCATCACCTGCCCTCTCCCTGTTGTCTTTCCATGAATGATACTAATTCTTTCCCATGCCCCATGCTATACCATGTCCTCAGTCTTGGATCAGTTGCTGAACATTTATTCATCTATTTATATTCTGAATAATGATAAATCTCAGTTTGTCATCTTGCTTGACATTATGATTTCCAGTTTTCAGCAACTGTGTTTCCATAGACCTATCTGCTCTCTGCCTCTCCATTTACAGTTTTAGTTGTGCTGCTAAGTTGGAAGGATATTGACAGGTGTCTCTGGATTTCAGAGAGAACAATCACATTCAGGCTGAATGTGACCAAAAAAGACTCCCTGACTCTGCAAAAGCCTTCAACATTATGTTATTTCCTATGTTTCTTTTAGCAAAAAATCATTCCAGCTGCAGAAATTATTTCTTGTGTAACTAAGAATAAGTCTTTTTTTTTTTTTAAAGCAAACTTTTATTTCTCATAACAACTTTATGAAGATTCCACATCCCTGGACCTCATACTCTATAATTACAAATAACATTGTATTGCATCCCAAATAAAACCCCAATCCATTAGCCTGATGTTTACAGACTTCCGTATGGTATTACCTTTCTGTTTAAGCACAGTTTACAATTTGGATACTGTTAATTTGGATTCCATTTAATGTGAATTATTTGTATTGTCATGAATGTCCTGTGCTTTCTAAGCAGGCTTCACACATCTTTCTCAAATCTTTCCCCCTTTATCTCTTCCATATTTACACGGCAGTATTCTACCATCATTCTTTCAATTTCTTGGCCAGATATCAATTTATATTCAAAATAATCCCTGGTTGACTACTATACATACATATATAATGTCCCTGTGCTTTTCTTGGGACACATTGCTTTTTCTAGTTTTACTGGAACTTCAGATTTTATCCTGCAGTTTGATATTATAGTTGTACAAATGCAAGAATATTTTTATGGTACTTTGTGTGAAAGTCACCTGGACTAGTACCTAGGACAGAATCATTACATTCTAAAATTTTTATAAAGCAAATTAAGATATAGTGAAATGTACATATAATTGAATAAAGGAAATGTAATCCTTCAGCTATACTTTACTATGGATTAAAAATGTGACATTTAATACCTTAATTAGAATGTGACAAGATACATTAATAATGATGCGAAGCAAATTGTTCCTTCTTTCATTAGGGAAAATACCGTTCTTTTGCACATTAAAAAGTAAATTTACCCACCTTAAAAATCAACAGGTACTTTTGTTATTATGATACGGTTTTTGACTTGTGGAAAACTATCCGTGTGTGTAAAGTTAGCATGCTATTAGTAAAAATGGTTTTATTTAAAAGTTTTTAATAATACATCTAAGATTAATAGAAATTCCGGAAGAATAGAATTTCTTCTGGAATGTGTGTGATTCATTGAGAAATTGTAAGTCATTTTCAGAGTTGGCATTGGCTTTGTAATAATGCACAATATGCATTGACTAGAAAACCAAAGTCATTTCTTCTCATTTCTGACATTCCAAAGGACATCTTTCTCTTTGTGCTACAAAAAGGCATTACACATATCTGAAAGAAAATTCATTATATCTTGGCTTTGATTCACTACCTACTGAAGATTCATTTAAGACATCTGATATTTGATTGAGACAGGTTAATGGGCGTATTAGTTCTCCATCTAGTATTTTCAGTTTCTATCACTGCATTAACATGATTAGAAAGTGTCTGACTGTACATTATTATTCCAGTCCTTTACAGAAGGACTCTCTGAAATTTAACTTGATATTATATCTTTTGCCTTTCTGGAAGGTCAGCTTAAGAACTGCTTGAATAGTATTTCAATATTTTGATAAAATGATTATTTATAAAGTTTATTGTCCTTTCAATAATCCCTTAATCAAATATCTATGTGATAACTACTATCTTCAGTTTAGTTCAAACATAAATATTTTGTTGTAAATTTTAATTGTTGGGCATTTGAATTTATATAACATGTCCTGTTTATTTTGTGGCTTTACCTGACTAGACATTTACTGCCAAATTTGGGATCCAATTGTAGTGCACAACACATCTGAGTTGGACAGTATTCCTTTCTTTCTTCTTCCTCACACTCTTGTCTTTGAACCTTTTTAGAGTCATTGACCCTTTGGTCTTTTGAGAAAATTGTGGATCATGTCACTTAGTTACTCAACATCTTTTTCTGTATATGTGCAATTGTTTCACAATAAGCATCCAGGCGCTGGGGATATAAGCTGAGCAAAATAGAATAATTTCCGCTCCTCATGGAATTTAAGTTTAACCAAGAAGACAGATATTACTTCTAAGATATAATACAAATAAACTCAAAAATATCATGCAGGAACACCACAGTTTCATTTTTGGGGTGTTAATGGAGGAGTGGGTTAGAGTCAGAGGTATGTTCCTTGTTAAACCGAAGTGTGGATTGGGATCTGGAAATGGTGAAAGAGGTGCAGTGCTGTAGAGAGAATTCTGGGCATATGAGAGAACTGAGAGAACCCAGTAGGTGCAGAGAAGAGACTGTGAGAACATGGGCTCTCCTGACATTGGGCAGGCTGATAGAGAACACATGCAGGACCCAAGACACATGCAGACACACAAAAAATTTGTACCCTTTGACTAAATGTTATTTTTTTCTCATTGTATGCTATGCAGTTTTGGGGGAGCGATTCTTTTTATTATATATTATGTTTGCATTATTTGCAATGGCATTAAATCTCTATTGAATGCAAATTAAACAGCTTCAAATACATAGAGGTAGCAGCAAGGCATAACTGCTAAATGTATAAAAAAAGAAAACAGACTCTTTCCAAACATTATTGGCATTAATTTACCCAAACTGACTTCTCAAAATCATGATAAAGTTTCATTACATTCACTAATTTCTGCAAAGAAATTTAAGCAGAAATATTGTCTTGCTCTTATAAGATTTATATATTTATTCTTATTTTTAATGTCTTTTTCCTCTGGGCTTGATCCCACCTTCCTAAGTGTACTCCTATTTTGATGTCATGAAATAAACTTTTGTACAATTACCATTCCTCCTAGCAATGCAAATTGATGAAAC